AATTGTAAGGCTTGACTGTGAAATATGCAGAGTTTTATATCTGAATGAGATCTGCTGCACATGGTACCTGCCCAGCTGCTAGCGCCTTAGGTTCAAACACTGCCAAATGACAAAGATTTTCATTTTGTTAACTTTATTTTTTATTGCAAGTTGTATGGCTGGAGTGCCCGCAGCCTTAGCAACCTTGGATTTGTGCTTATAGTCAACGAAATGAAAAAGCATACACTAGTTCAAAGGCTGCTAGTTCAAAGGCTGCAATCTATAACTAGGCATGATCTCAAGAAAAGGTTTTCATCTCTTCCAAACTAACTGGAATATATCCAATTATTGATGTGTATATAAAATATTATTTTATAAATATATAATTGTTAATATTAAAATTATTATTGTGATATTTATCATGATATTTTTATATAAAAAAATAAAATTTTAAATAAAATCTCTAAATTTACTGTAAAATCTTTAAATTTACAGTAAAATATGTAATAATTCAATTTCTTTTAAAATTCTATCTTTAACTTGTTTATCTACACCACTTTTCATTAGTTATATTTAATATTAAAAAATAAAATATATAATAATTTAATCTCTCTTAAAATCCTATCTTTAGCTAATTGATATGTATCATTTTATCTTAGTTACATTTAACACTTGAAAAAAAAATAAAATATGTAGAAACTCAATCTCTCTCAAAGCTCTATCTTTTAACTAGTTGATATGCACCCTTTTACATAAGTTACAATTACCATTGAAAAATGATATAGGAGTAAAAATTATTTTTTATAAATACTCACATATAAACCATGAGAGAAAAAAATCTAATCCAAATCCAGCACTAGACCCCAAGGTCATGTCTAAAATCCCAACCACAAACCAATCCCATTATGCTTCAAGCCCGCACCCCAACAACCACATGTCGAACCAATAATCTCGTCAAGTGTGAAGCCAAAACTCTTTAAGGCTTCCTTTAAATATAACAAATCCTTTTTAGTTATTCATCATTTTCAACATTCAATCTACTGTAAAAAGCTTAAATGAAATTATTTATTAGCTTAAATAGGATGCCCACATGCATGTAAGTGTTTTTTTTTTTTCATAGTCAAGTTGATTCTTTTTTTTTTTCATAGTCAAGTTGATTTAGTGATCTAAAATGCATGTAAGTGTTTTATTTTTTTCATCGTCAAGTTGATTTAGTAATTTGAACTTATATAATTAGTCATGTGTTTGTTTGCTAATGATGAAGCAAAAAAGTGTAACTGTACAAATTATAGTATTTCTTTTGACTACTCAATTTTCTCTTAACTTTTTTCTCTTATTTATGCCCATAAATTTTAGATGATAAGATAATTTATGTTTATAAATTTTAGATGATAATATAGACTTGAAATGGGATATTCCAGTAATGTCAAATTTTATATGTTTAAAAAGAAACATATTTTTTAGCTATTTAATGAAGTAAAAAACTTTGAAAACACTCATTTTAAAAATTTTATGAGATTTGTGTACCTTTATATGATATCATCCAAAAAATTGTTGATTTTTATTTATTTGATTGTAAGAAAATGAGAATAACAGAATAATTAGCTTTGCCAAATAGTTAAACGAATATAAATGTCATTTTACCTATATGTGAACCTGTCACAAAATAATTGACTCTTTAATTTGTGCTTTATAGTTGATTTCTTCCTTGTGGCAATATCATTGCCCAGTGTTAAGTAAGGAAGCCCCTTTATTGCTTTTTGGTCCGTGAGGAAGAGGCGTGAAGAAAGTCTTAAATTACAATAATGTTTAAGTTAAAAGATAAAGAAAAATTATGCAAATAACTTTTGAGTCATGCTATTTACTTTATCACTTTTGTTCTAAATATTTTTATCCATTGACGTGGGAATTTAGATTATAATCAAACTAATAAGTTAGACCGGTATGTTGCACATGACCTCTTTTTGCTTGTTTTTTCTTTCTTTTTCTACTTTTTTTTTTTTTATCTTTTTCTCATTTTTCCTATACCCTTCACGTGATTACAGGACAAAAAACGTTTTTAGCATTTTCTTCCAAGTATGTTATAAATGTACTTCAAATTATTTTTTTAAAATTTAAATTTTATAAAACCGAAACCATGAATGTCGTGTCCAGTCTAGCAGCATAACTGGCGAAAGGGCAAAGACAAGCAAGCTTTGAAAAGGACACTTCCCCTATACAATTGTCAAAGAATACTGCGCAACAGGCAGCAGTGAAACAAGAACGTCCCTACCCTGAAGAGACACATGGGGCTATGAAAGATCCAAGGGAGTTACAAAAAGACCTAATCTTAACGGCAAAAGAGGGATTAAAGTGTTCTGAACGTTAAAGCAACCCCTAATTACTTTAGTTCACATTAAATTTTTTCCCAATCAAGATAAAATTTTATTAAAATCGTTGAGACTACAGTGAATATTAGCTTAAAGGCCAACTAGTACGAGCATCTGCATTGCAATGATTAACAAACTGTTGGGCCAAAAAAAGCTGGAAAAGTAGCAAACATGGTGAGGAAAACATCAGTAGATAAAGAGATCTCAAAAGCAAGGCTGACGATAGAACATAAAACAAACCAGCAACGTTAGAATCATTCAGCACATCATGGGCTCACCATCAAGCAGAGAATGGAGTAGAAACATCAACACCATCGCTGGCCAAAGAAATTAAAAATGAATTACCTTCTCTGAAGACTTAAGTGAAAGATAGTTTACTGATCAAAAACAGTCGTGAATCGATCTCTTTGAAAATGTGTCATTGCCTAAATTAGCCCCACTAAGGCAAAAACATTATTAATATTGTATTTAATAAAACAAATTACGTTAATAATTTCTCAAGTAACTCAAACCAAATTAACCCCCAAGTATTAGCTCAAAGCACTAACACCAAGGTTTCCTTGGAATTTGGCGAGCACGTGGTTCATGCATGCAAGATGTCGTGCTCTGCTTCTCCACTAATTAAACGTCCTTCAGCTGGACCAATTAACTCTGTGGGACAAGAATTGAAAATGCCGTTGACTAAACAGAAGCTCGAACAACGAGCTAAGTCTATAATTGTACTCTGCATTAAGACTTAACATATGATGTTTTGTCCGTTCAAAAAAAATAAAAAAACATATGATGTTTTTGTGGCATAAACAAGTGTAAGTGTCCCTTTCGACGTCCTAACATAATAAATGGCTAATATTTCAAATGATGAAGATACTGCCAGCTCGTACCAAGTTATATAGATACTGCAATATTTAAAAAAAAATTAAAAGATTCCAGAGAGGAAAATTCATATACAGGCACTGCGAGTGAAGCTGATGGGGTTATCAGTCTTGACTCTCTTAAGACCAACTGGCAGCAAATATAAGCCAGCAATCCATCTCCACTCTGCAAAAAAGGTATATCAATCTCCTATCCCATTTACAATTGACTCCTCTAAACCTGCACCTATCAAACAATTCAAAAGCTAACCAGCCACAAAAAGGACGACTAGTAAGATATGGAAACACCGCCAGCATGGCTGTATCCAACTCTTGCTAATTTAATCATCACCACCTGAACAAGTGATGTGCAGACTCTACCACAAGAGAGTTGTCTCATTATCAACCGTTAATGTATTTTGATTCCGATATAATTATATATTTGATTATATACGTCTTTAAAATTAAAGATTTCAATTACTTTGAGCCCATTATAAATTTTACATGACTATCAATTTGGAAATGAATAAATTACACACCCTTGATTTACCATATGCTAAATTTAATATTTAAGAGATTTTAACAATTGAATTATAATCCTGTAAGGGTATAGTAAATTTGTAGGATGTCTGGCCCAATTGGAGCAAAAATACAAATTGAATAAGCACATGTATTTATCTGGCATAATACTCAAATAAATTCTTATATTATTAAAAAGTATTTAAATAAATTTTTATTTTTTATTATATTTAATTAAATCCCTTTACTTTTTTTTATCGAGTAAGCTGTGACAATTAATAATTGATTAATTATTATTAATAAAAATAACACTTATCATTTTATATCTACATGGCACTAATATGATATTGATATAAAAAGTAAAAAATATCATATAATCATATTATCATATTAAATTAGCATATCATATGATTATCAATTATGATATTTTAATATTCAACGTCATCATCACACTGTATAGAATAATAAATGACATTTGCACTAAGTCAATCATTAGTTATAAAAATTTATTTAACTTAAAATAAAAATATAAAAATTTATTTAACTCAAAATAAAATTATAAAAACTTAATGAAATGTAATAAAAGTATAAAAATTTGTTTAAATCTTTTTAAATAATTTAAATGCTTATTTATATATTATGCCTATGTATTTCAACGGGAAGTTGTACAGTTGCTGCCCTATCAGTAGGTCCACACTAACATGACATTTAAATAGAATAAATGTGCTAGGACCACATAAAATAAAAAAAAAATAAAAAGAGAAAGGGAGGCAAAAAATTCTCAATGGCCAGAGATTATTTGTGGTTCATGTTAGCTGCTCCCCACGTACGTAGCGGTACAGCTAAATATTGACTCGTTAAATGACTCTATAAATGGTCTAACATAAATTTTCAACTTTTATTGTTTAGAATATATATATATATATATATTAATTTATTTTTTTGTTAATATATTTAATGTTGTATGTGGTAAATCTCTAACTACATTTGCAAAATTTAAAAACTTATGTATTAGACAATAATCTAGATAAATAAATATGGAGCATCTTTTTTCTATTCTCTCGTTATCAAAATTAACTTATTCGAAAGAAAAAATGGGTTGATGGCAAAAATTTAAAGTAGCAAACATGCTTGCGCAGACAACGAATAGCAGACACAGGGCTAGAGCAAATGCAAAACACGTTGAGACAACGTTATTCACGTTTGGAGTCCAGTGAAAGCCTTTCGTGGAACTCCTATAAATTGATGTCCTCCCACCAGTTAACCATTAGAGCAAATAACACAAGCTTCGGATTCGATTGATTAATTTTAATTTCTTCTTTGTGCCATGGAACACTCACATGTTTCAATTCAGGCTTTAGTTAAAGAGATGAAAGAAGAGATGTTTAAGGATTACATCGATCCTTACTCATTCGTTTCACCTTCTGCTTACGACACTGCCTGGCTAGCCATGATTCCTGCAGATTCCAACCACCAGTCATGTTCAGCACCCATGTTCAAGGATTGCTTAGATTGGGTGCTCAATAACCAGACAGAAGAAGGGTACTGGGGAGAGTGTGACGCTCATGGAAATCCTACCATCGAGTCGCTTCCTGCTACTCTGGCCTGTTTAATCGCACTCAAAAAGTGGAATGTTGGGATAGAACATGCAGAGAGAGGTACCAAATTACGTAAAAAATTGATGAATTGTTCTTTCCGACTTATGCAATATATAAGCCCCTCGAATTACCGGAGCAAATTATGATTTTATATAACTTGTTATTCTATTTTTTTTATTGTGTTTCAGGATTGGCATTTATTCAAGCAAACGTGGAAAAACTCCAAAAAAGAAATCATAATCGGTTTCCTCGTTGGTTTACTATTGTTTTCCCTGGAATGATTGAATTTGCGCGTAAAGTTGGCCTACAAATCGACTTTTCAAACCAATTAAAGGGATTATTGATGGACATATTATTTGAACGACAAGAAATTTTAAAAATGTAAGTTGATAGACATATTCTTTAAACGGTAAGAGATTTTTAAAATATAAATTAATTTTAACTTTTATCTAATTTAAAATATGAAACTATAGATTAATAAATATTAATTGCAAAATTTATTGATTAATTTACAATATTGAATTAGCAGGTGCTTTTTACAAATTTACATCAAATTTTAAAAAAGATAATTTTAATTAATTATAAAAACCTTTCTTATATTATCTGCTTATAACATTTTTCTACAATTTTTTGTAGCGAGGAACTTACTGACGGTCCATATCCACCTTTACTATCATACCTGGAAGCGTTGCCTTCACTTTATGCCATTAATGAAGAAGACATAACCATGCACTTAAGTGATGACGGCTCGTTATTCCAATCTCCTTCTGCAACAGCACGTGCATTCATGGCTACCGGGAACAAGGAGTGTTTAGCTTACCTACAATCTTTAGTTCGAAGATGTGGCAATGGAGGTAGGCAAGATTTTCATCTCTTTCTTTCTTTCTTTTTGTCTCCAAATTTATGGCTTCCCTTACTCTTTTTTTTTTTTTGTAATTTGTTATAGTTCCACCAACCTATCCAATGGATGAAGAGCTAATAAAACTTGGCCTGGCCAATCAACTACAAAGGTCGGGGTTGGCTGAACATTTCACTCAGCAGATTGAAGACATTTTGACCCAAGTTTACCGGTAATGAGAGAAAATAATTTGTATATGCAGGGATGGATCTAGGATTAAACTCCTGGGAGCTAAAAAGTAGAAACAGCTAACATATTCATGTATATAAAAAATTTAGGTTAAAAAGTATATATGTAACATACTTTTTATAACTTATCAAAGTTAAGCATGACGTTTTTTTATATTATAAAATTTATCAATAATTGAATTTGTGTCCAATTTTTTACAATCTCTCTTCAATATAAGTAATCAAGCAATCAACAAGAAAATCCTTTTTCATTTTATTCTTAAGCTTGTTTTTTATCATGTTCATATCTAAAAATAACCTCTTACTTATTACAGTTAAATTTTGTTTTTTTTTAAAAAAAGTTAATATTTAATGTAATTTCTTTAATAATTTTTTATTATATATTTTGTCTTATCTTGAGTTATGTCATCATGATATTGACTTCTTGGATTTATAAGTCATACTTCTATGGGTTATTTAATTAGTACTTATTCATTATAGGTGGATTTGTCTTTGAAGAAAGTGATAAGTATAAACCTATGACATCTGTTTTATTCTGATGGGGATTGGGAGAAAAGCAATAGCGGTCACTTGTTTTTGAAAAAGAAAAATACATATAACAGGGACCAGCAACCCCATGCCCCAGTGCGTACCTGTCCCTATGTACATATATCTTCTATGTAATCGTATTCTTTCATGATATTAAAAATGGGAAATATTATAATGTTTTGAACGATGATTACATTCAGGAATTACAACAACCAGGAATCGTTGGCACAGCCAAGCAATAGTACTTCAATCGCAACCCAGCTGCACAAAGACTCTTTGGCTTTTAGGCTACTGCGAATGCATGGTTATAACATATCGCCTTGTACGTTTAATTTGACTCTTGAAAACTTTCTTGAAACATTGGCATAGGTTTATGATTTTCAAAACTCTAAATCAATGTTTTGCACATGCAGGGAGCTTCTGTTGGTTCTTGAATAATCAAGAGGTTCTAGATCATATAGGAAAAAACTATGAATATTTCTCAAGCGTAATGCTTAATGTTTACAGAGCCACAGATCTTATGTTTCCCGGAGAGTATGAGCTTGAGGAAGCAAGATCATTTTCTAGGAAAGTACTAGAGAAAGTTGCATCAAAAGGAAATAAAGACGATGACCACTTCACAAAATCCTTAAACCTTCAAAAAATGGTATTCAATTTTACTTTGATTCAATTCAAATAAACAGTTATTAGCTAGTATGGAATCATAAACAACCACTTACGGGCATTAGTTACTTAAATATTTGATGCTATACGTGTGGCTTAGATCGAGCACGAGCTGAGTCTACCATGGATCGCTCGACTGGACCACTTGGAACACAGGTCGTGGATTGAAGAGAATGATATGAATGCTTTGTGGCCAGGAAAAACCTCCTTCCATAGGTATGGAGACTCTGCATTTCAAGAAACTTGAAAGTTCAATATCAAAGGATATCTCTGCCAATTTTCTACTTGCTATATCACCAACACATCAAACTTTTTGGAAGCAGGTTTTCAAGCCTTATGAATGAGAAGTTAGTGCAACTTGCTGTGAGGGATTATGAGTTTCGACAGTCAATTTACAAGAATGAAATGGCTGAATTGAAAAGGTACAACTCAATGCTTAATTTGGGGGAAAAAGACAAAAGAAATTAAAATGAATTCTTCTTCAAGACTATGCTAATAATGGACCTATTTTCTAAATGATACTACCTTGTTTCTGTGAAACAGTTGGTGCCTGAAATGGGGTCTTACTGATATGGGATTTGGCCGGGAGAAAACTATGTATTGCTACTTTGCCATCTCTGCCAGCCTTTCACTGCCTTATGACTCCGCTATACGAATGATGGTTGCAAAAAGTGCTATACTTATTACGGTTGCAGATGATTTTTTCGACATGGAAGGTTCTCTAAATGAGTTGAACATCCTCACTGACGCAGTTAAAAGGTAATTACCAAAAACGAAAGCTAATACTAACAAGTATTTGGGGTTAATAGGGAACGATTCAAATCTCCCAAATGGTTTATTAGCAACTCACTGCTGCTTTTTGAATGCGTATATGACAGATGGGACGGCAACGGATTAAGGGGCCATGGTAAAACCATATTTGATGCCCTTGATGATCTTGTGAGAGAAACAGCAGGAGAACATCTCCAACAGCGGGGAACTGATATAACAAGTTACCTACAACAAATAGTAAGTATTAAAACATATAAGCAATTAACTAATTTTTCTGATCTTGCCCGTTCAAATGAATTCTAAAGTAGTGTTTATGAGTGTTTGATGTAGTGGCATGAAACATTTGCTTCATGGCTTGTGGAAGCAAAATGGAGCAAAAGTGGATACTTGCCATCACTGGATGAGTACCTTGGAACTGGCATGACATCCATTGCTGCACATACCATGGTTCTTCCAGCTTCATGCCTCTTGAAATCAAGCTTACCGAATTCCAAAATCAAACCTGCAGCTGAATACGAGACTGTAACCAAACTGGTCATGCTTATACCTCGCTTATTGAATGACATACAAAGCTACCAGGTAAATTAACATTTTATAAGGTTTCATTTCTGAATTTCTTTTTATTTATGGAAGCTTATAACTTACATTTACAATCACAGAAGGAAATAGAAGACGGGAAAATGAACTTTGTATTACTTTACATGAAAGAAAACCCCGAAGCTGACATTAATAATTCAATTGCCTTTGTGAGAGACTTGCTTGACAAAAAGAGGAAAGAGTTGCTCAAACACGTTCTGACGGATGGATTGAGTGATTTGCCTGAAGCATCTAGGCATCTTCACTTATCATGCATGAAAGTATTTCAGATGTTCTTCAACTCCAGCAATAGATATGATTCCAACACTGAGATGCTTCAAGACATCCAGAAGGCAATCTACATTCCACCAGATATTGGAATATCGAAGCCATTGATGCCTCTTCCTTCTGTCTCTGGACCGATGAAGGAATTTCGAACAATAACTTCTCACTTTGTTCAGCCTGTCAAATACCACAGCAAGAGAATCATAGGATACCAAGCTTCTTTGCCCATTACAAGGCGTGGATATGCTAGTGTGTTTATCACTCCAAACTTTAGAATGTCATTCGCCTAATAATTGGTCAATCTGCCTTTTGCACATTGAACTGCTATATGTACAATAATCTCAAACCTCTATTACAAATGTACAATAATCTAAAATCTCTGTCGTATAACCCAAATTGAAAAACTATTCTTGTTGTAGAATCCAAATCATTGAAAGAAGAAAATTTAAAAAGTAGGGAAAATCTGATTCAAAGGATTGCCCTTTGCTAGATTAAGAAATTGACAGTACCATTATTGCAGACAATTCCTAAATATATAGGGAATATTTCTTCTAAGCAAAATTGTATAAATCAACCTTCGTTGTCTTTTCTTGTTAGTCCAAGCACTGTATGAACACCTTGACTGCTTAAATTTATGGAATTAGCCAACCTATTCATATGCCCAAGAATAGTGGGTTGCCCGGTAGTTTGACAGCAAGTCTTGTTCATCTTTTATGAGATACATGCCATCCAGGGCAAAGAGGGATGACTCATAACTGGTCACATAAACATTAGAAAACAGGAATTGGTGTTCATTTGCCTTTGCGTTCAGAAATGGGTTTCAAACCTACCCCTCAAAAGTCAAATTCGACATGTTCTAAGCCAGTGGTTTCGGGGTTGGATTTCTATGTGAAGGAACATGGCTCATTCTCTTGGGGCCATAAAAATCTGGCTCCTTCTCGGGCACAACACCGAGACCAATTATACTTCCCGTACTGGCAGAAGAGCCAATTCGTCGAGTCATAATCAGGCTGGACCTCACACCAACAACTGCTAGCTACATTCAGACGTAGAAGTAGAATTCGTTCACAATTTGATAAGGAGAATTCCTTGCTTTAACCGCGCCATCACTTTGAGGAAACGAAGAGCTCGCAATCTCTCAAGGGTCAAGGTAATCGCCATTTACAAGGCAGAGTGCCGGTCGAGTGATGGACAATATATATCCCAACATCTAATGTAATATCTTACAAAAAATTTGTGGTAGGCCAAAAAGATGGCAATTTCTGGTTCATGTTTCTCCATTCCTGGCAGCGGTAAGGGAGCAAATAAATAAATGTGGGGGGTAGTTTTCTGCCCTTTTGTTATCAGAGAAAAGATTATATCTGGCAGATGTCGGTACGGATCCATGCTAATGCATCTGGACTGTAAGAATCGCTATACTGGAAGAGTTTATTTTCTGTAAAACGTGGATGGCTCTTTTCACCTGTAAATTAATATGAGGCAGTTTCAATAATTTTAAAAGCCTAAAACTAAATATTTAAATGAGACATTTTTTTGTTGAAATTGAAGTTTTTTTTTAAATCAAGAAAAAATTATTAAAATTTGAGGTTAGAAGAAAAAAAAGTAAATGAAAAAAAGAAAATTCAAAAGTGGATATTATAAATTGAAAAATAAAATTACCAATTTACTATAGTTGAGAAAAATAACTATTGAAGATGATTAAATACATGTTATCTTATTTGATGGATAGTATTGTAGGAATTGAAAAGTGATAAAAAATTATGATTTATTAAGTACACAATTAGGAAAATGACAGAATATATTATTTTATTAATTATTTTGACTATTATATATTTTTAATGAAAAATTAGATAAATAGTTTAGAATTGTAGGAGTGACAGAAAATAGATATTTATTATGGGAGAATAAGTAGATATTTTATTAATTATATTAATTTGTATATATTTTTAATATAATTAATTATATTATTATTGTAATAAAATTATAAAACCTGTGAAACTTTTGAGACTAAAAAGCTTTACACAAAAACCGATCCTGATTAACATGGGCATATTGTCCATGGCTGTGCAAAGGTTGAACTTTTTTGTTACTTATTTTAATCTTATTTTAATCTGTTTAACAACTGCTCTCTCTTTGAATAGTAGTTGCTACCTTTTGTAACTATATTTACTATCAATGAAATCTTTAATTGCTTGAGAAAAAAATAAAACAAAATTCACGCTTCCATGCAACTCCTATAAATTAATGTTCAAGCACTTAGCATTTCGCATCATTTAATTATTTAACCCTCAACCATGAGAGGAAATAATACAATATTCGGATTCGATTGATTAATTTTAATTTCTTCTTTGTGCCATGTAACTCTGACTCATTCGTTTCACCCTCTGCTTACAACACTGCCTGGTTAGCCATGATTCCTGCAGATTCCAACCTCCAGCCATGTCCAGTACCCACGTTCAAGGATTGCTTAGATTGGGTACTCAATAACCAGACAGAAGAGGGGTACTGGGCAGAGTGTGACGACGCCCATGGAAATCCCACAATCGAGTCTCTTCTTGATGCATTCATGGTTATAACATATGGCCTTGTACGTTTTAACTCTTTCAAATAAATTGTTAGCAATATTGGCATAGGTATATTTATGATTTTCCTATAAATCAGTCTAATTGGCCAATCTGCCCTTTGCATACTATACATGTGAACTACACTATTCTGCTTAGACGGTGTAAATTTCTCGTTAAAAAAAAAAAGTAATCCAACATTTAAATAGTTATTGTTGATTAATTTAACTAAGAGTAAGAAGTTGTTTTGTTATTTAAAAAATAACGAAAACGCTTATTGCTTCATCCTAACGTGATTAATATACATTGAAATTAATTTATGACTCAATCTTGTTGAAATTAAGACATGTTCCTCATATTCACGTGTTAATCGGAAATGAAGAGATTAAGAAAATCGAAAAACTATTCTTTATTGTATAATCCAAATCCTTGATTGAAAACAAAAATTAGAAAGTGAAGACAGCCTTTTACAACTATTTTACTTCAATGGTTAAATGATCATTCTCTTTTCATTTTAATTACAAGAGATGTGAACTGGTTCGGAAACTTTTTGTACCACTATGACAGACTACTCAATGATATTATGGAACATTTCTTCAAAACCAAAGACCAATTTGTATATGATTTTTGTTGGTGGTAACTTTTGATGCGGTTGAGTTACTGCCTTTCATTTTATATTAATATTTGAATTTGTTTATGACTTTTGTATTGTTTTACGGTACTAAGCAATAATAGGAGAATTTTTTGTTTAATGGTACTGAGTATCACTAGACTTGTACCTTGATTATATATCTTGAACTTGATCTTTATATAGAGACTGACCTTTACATTATAGTTTTAACTATTTTAATACAAATTTCATTTGACTGAGAAAAAAAATTTGTATACATCAAATTGTTGTCTTATCTTGTCAATTCCAGTACTGAATGAACATCTTGACTGCTTTAGAGATACAATGGTATGCAGAAGAACAGTGGTTTGACTGGGTAAACCAGCTTGATTGGACAAAAGAAACCCATCACATACACAAATAAAGATGGTCGTTTGACAGCAGTTCTTGGTCATTTTTTATCAGATAAACCCTGTCCAGGGCAACGAGGGGCACCTTATTGTTAACTATTCTTGAGGAGAAGAAGAAGAAGAAGAAAGGAAAGCCTTTAACTGGTTGCATAGACATTAGAAATGTTCTTACAGAAATTCATGATCATTTCCCTTATTGTTTATAGTAGTATATTACTCATATCCCAGCACTGCAAAAGACCCACAGCTGAAAGAACTATTTTACTGGGGGAAAAACACATAATAGTATGACCAAAATCCTCCAAGACTTCATCGCGAGGGAGGTAGGGATTCCCCAAGGAGAAAAGCTGTGAAGAAAGCGAGTGAACTGTTTGGTTTGAAGCAGGGAACTGCATGGCCAGCTCCTCTAAATGTTGCGAAGGTAAGTCCTTTGTATTCTTGAACCCAACCGCTGACCTGATCAAAAGAATAAAAAAACTTACATGAGTTAATTAGTAAAAGAGACAGGCACACGGTAAGGGTTAATCAATTCTTTATGCCAAGATGGCATGATTTCATGACGAAATTAGAGCTGAGTGTTTTCATCGGTTAAGTTCATTATTCCAATGCTTCAGAACTGCAGATAGTACTGTATTGCAGAATGACCCACAATATGGAGAATCATGGCATTTTAGCTACCCATTAAGAGGAGAAGGGAGTTTCGGTTTATCTCTCTTCTTTTTCCCATGACAATGCTTAAGAAATAGCAAAATCTTGATCAGAGTCTTTAATAGTAAAACTAGTTTAACCAGATGTTATTATTTTTGCTTTAGTACCTGTTTCTGGTGGTACCATGGTCTCCATGCCGCAATGATGGGCAGGCCCAAAGTCTTTAAGCTGTATCTCGTGGACAGAACAGGAACTCTTCCATCCGTGTCTCCACTAAACCACTCAGAAGCAATTACCATGAGATGGAAAAAAACAAACGACTACAATCTGTAGAAAACTGTTCTAAGCATGTGAATTACCTGTAGACCCAAATTCTAACTCCTGCGGCAATAAGCTTTTTGTATATGGGAAGTACTGATGGCTTTGATTCTGACCAATCATCAAATATCTTTTGACTGCATTATAAAGAGAATGACAGTGTTCAGTTGACTTTAAAAGACCACAATCCCAGTATGCTTCTACTCATCATTGCAGGCTCATAACATTGATGCATATATATATATATATATATATATATACATATATACATATATAAGGCATTACTTGCAGATGCTCCAGTTCCTGAGATGCTGACCATCACTAACATGGAGAGCCTTTTGAACATCCAGTCTATTATAGAAAGCTTTTGCATAATTATCAAGGCAGGGATCATAACCACCCAAAACCCTTGGCATCTGGTAAGGAAAAATCCATGAAACCACCATGTCAAAAACTTCTCCACAGAAGTGAACGGAAGTACTACAATATGGAATACAGGAAATTATAAAAGAGGACAAGAATTTAAGTCACGAGAAATTACTCTGACATTGATGTTATATTATGGAACAATGTTAAGCTACAGAAATGAAACATGTGATTACCATATTGGATTTTCGCTTCATCATGACTTGCAATACTGATTTGTCATCTGAACCTGCAGTATCACCAACGCACACTGAGGTGTATAGGCTGTAGATATCAATCTGCTTATACTGTTTGAATACTTCTTCCACAGCTTGATTACAATCTTCATTGCTCCATGTATCATTGCTGTAAAAATCACAGTGTTCCTT